ATAAAAAAACTCTAAAAAAAAAATATGTTATGGAGAAAAATAAAGTAAACAATATTTGCCTGAGCATTAGATCCGAATTCCGTACCAAATTTGAAATTAAAATAAAATTCAGAAAATAAATACTTATAATAACAATAAATAAAAATAGAAAGAGAATTAAATTTAGTGAGTGCGCGAGCATGTTTTCGACACAGCCATCTTTGGCGATTTTTCATTTATTTTGGCATAGCTAAATGCCCTGAAAATTTCCAGATGTGTACTTCACATAATACAAAACCCACTAAAAAAGTTTCAAAAAACTAATAAAATTGTTTAGACCCCGAACTAAAGTGAGAACAAAAAGTAAAACTTAAAAACATACGTAGGCGAGCACGTTTTGACACCTCTATCTTTGGTGATTTTTAATTCTCATTTTGCTTAGCCAAATGTCTTGAAAATTTACAGGCGTGTACGTGACGCCATAGAGAACTCACAAAAAAAAAATGGAAAAACAATAATTATTTTTAGGCCCCGAAATAGTTTTTGGCGGGGGCCAAACGCCATCTGTTTTGGACCCCGTACGGGACCCCGAACGCCCGTACGTACGCAGGTCTGCCCAGGGACCTCCGTACGTACGGGCTGGTGACCCTGTATATATATATATATATATTTATATATATATATGTATATATATTTATATATTTATATATATATACAGGGTTGCCAGGCCGAACGTACAAAGGCCCTTAAGCGGACCCCCGAACGTTCGGGCGTTCGGGTCCCCGTACGGGGCCCGAGCCTGAAGAGGTTCGGACCCCGCAGAAAACTATTTTAGCACTTAAACATTATTTTTTTTTTCTGAATTTCTGTGAGTTCCTCGTGATGTAAGGTATCTCCCTCTTAATTTTGAAGCGATTCTGTTCAGCCAGAAAAAAATGAAAAGCCATCAAAGATGGTGGTGTCAAAACTTGCTTGCCCACTCACCAATTTGTTTTTTGTCTTTTTTCACTTTTTGTCTTTTCTTTATTTCGGGGTATGAAACAAAATATTTTTTTTTTAATCTTTATTTGTATATTCTTTATTATGTAAGATACACATTTACAAATTTTAATGGCATTCGTCACAGCCAAAAAAATGAAAAATCACTAAGGATGGCGGTGTCAAAAACGTGCTCGCCCACTCAATACTTTCATTCTCGTTTTATTTTTTCTAATTTTTATTATTATTATTTATTTTTAGTATCTGATTTTTATTTCAAATTTGGTAAAGAATTTGTACGTTATATTGAGGCAAATGTTATTCAGTTCATTTTTCTGTATAACATTTATTGTTTTCGGATTTTTTGGAGTTCCTTGTTTTTTTCTTTTTTTTTTGATGGGGCGAGGGGATGGTCCGCAAACGGCCGATTGCGTCGAGAGGGCATGCCGAACACCGTCGACCATCTATATATATATATATAGGGTAACTGACGTTCGGGATGGGCCGAACGTTCGAAAACGAATGCCCGAACGTTAGGCCAAAACCAACTGCAAAGTTTGAGCACAATAAACGAATTCAAAAAATGGAAGATGGATAAAGATACAGAGAAAGGGAGAGAGAGGGAGAAAGGAGGAAGAGAGAGATGGAGAGATAGAGTTACAGAGAGCTAGAGGAGTAAGAAAATAAGAATGCAAAAATAAATAGTTGAGAATATTATTCTTGCGTCATCAAAAAAATGCATGTGAATTTATTTTTTTTTCAATATATACTGAGGAATATATGTTTTTTTTTTTTTTTCAAGTTCCGGCCGCACCCCCCCCCCCCCAACTCGGACTTGGATCCACTTCATGCTTCACCACACAAGAAACCCGAACTCCGGCAGCTAAGAAATGCACATGAATTTTATTTTTTTTGTAACGAATAGTCGAGAATATTATTATTATTATTATTTTTTAACAGGGTAGGCGGGGGACTTCTCGTTGCACTTGGATTCATATGTTGCTTCACCACACACTAAACGCGCACCGGGGCGCTAAGAAGTGCGTGTGAATATTTTTTTTTTTTCAATATATACTGAGGAAT